TAATTAGCAACAACTTCAGGTTTAGCATCAGACGGAAAGTAATGGTTGCCAATGAGTAGATTTAGACCATCAAAAGTGGGGATTTCAACCCATACACATTCTTCAAAGGATTCTAAGTCGTGCCTGCGTTTACAGGCACGTACTCCGGGAGATAAAGCTATTAACACTCCACCTCCACGCGTCTTATTTGTACATATTCTGTCAGAATGGAAAACAGTGTAACCGTCCGGAAATAGATTGTGATCGTAACACGAGTCTTTTAGCCATGTCTCAGTTAAACATAAGATACTATAACCAGAGGACCAGACGCTATCGTAGAATAAATAATAAAAATAATAATAATACATATTATAAAGTACAATTCATACTATTATATAAATTTCACATAATACAAAACAAAGTATTCGCCTAGAGAAATGATAAGCTACAAATAGATCTACCCATTACACACAAGAAAAATTTATCACTTATTTGTAAACAACATAATTTCATTGACATGATACATATGAGACATACAATCAACCTACGGGATTTACCAGTGGAATTGGGCATTTTTTAGCATCCTCGCTGTAGGCAAACAGCTAATAATAAATTGGAACATTTATTTTAAAAGCAAGGTTAATTACTGCAAAGTATGAATATTCCAATAATATTTTCGGCTACTTTATTTTGAAATCTGGAGATATCACATAGCCAGTAAACATACTGATGTGGACTACATGTATTTTGTGTTGTGTCTTGTTGTGATGGCATGCTGCAAATCAGCATTTGTTAGAACACCTTGAAAAAGAATTGAAATTTCCAAAATCTAAATAAATTTCTGGGCTTTCTTGCCATTTGATCCCATATAATTTGCTGCAAATCAACCAAAGTTTCCAACATCATTTGCATGAAACTGTAGAAATGTTGTCTGTCAGAGTTCAGTTTAACAATTAAATTTTCTGTGGTATTTTTATTGTCCTTGTCTTAAACATATTCACCAACTCGGTACCTCCTGTAATTAATGTTTTGCTCGCACAAACACTCCCAAATCATATGTCCACCCAAAACTGTCTTCATGAGTGTAAAAAAAATGTGAACACTCTGTAGGAATCTCAAATTTGAGGTTCCCACATTTGCAAGTATGAAGATGGTTATCTTCTGGGTTGTTGCGCTGTGTAGTTTGGTAGAAGTTTACCCATCACCTTGATAGGTAAAGAGGCAGAATGCACCTCTAAAACACTGGTAAACTTCTACAAGATTACATGGCACAATAACCAAGAATACAGCCATCTTCATTTCATAGGAAATTACACGATGCTACTAACCAAGTGACGGTGAGCTGAATGGAGCATTGAATTTGGCCATAACTGTCGCATGCCGAACATGTCAGCTTTCCTTTTGAATCACACTCAAAGCAGTCTTGTCGACCAGGTCCATTGTGGGAGAGAGAACAGTTGATACACCTATCCCTCTGTTCTGAATGGGTCCGGTATCCATATCCATTGCACATCTGACAGCGAACCTGGCAAAGGTAATTCTGTTCTTCAGTAACTGTTCATTGATAAATATCAAATGTATCAAGTCCCAAGCCTCACATTACTGTTCTGTATAAAATGTATAACAGTATGTTTTGCATTCTTAATGAAGAGCAGAAGTGTAGTTTGAATTTATAAACGCACTGTTTTCAAGTCATCATAATTTTAAAATATTAATGAATTTAGATACACAAGCCTGCTCATTAATATCTCTGCAGTGTCTTTAATTTCATAAACGTATGTAAATTGTAAATATAACATTCTATTCTGATTTATCTAAATGGATAATAAATCACACAATAAATACAGAGATCATATATGTCATCATTGATGAGAAAAACACAACATTACAGTAACCTCGTAAAGTTGCTCCAACACGTGCCAACATTCCAGCCATTGGTCAAATTGGTTCTGCTTTTACCTCTGAGCTTCAACCCAAAATTAGATGATGTAGGTACCCCTTAGTTTGGTAACTTGGAAGGTACTTATATCAACCAAGGACTGTCTGCAGTCACCCAAGACTAACCAAGGATGACTGATGCTCAGCAGGCCAGTCGTGCTGTCCCTAATATGGTGGTCAAGTTGACACAATGGCAATATGAAAGGGGATAACCCCAATCAGGCCTTGAGCCATAATACCGCCCCCAAAAGGTTCCAGAGGATTTTGGCCAAAGTGATTCCAACTCTTATGGGTCCAACTTTGAGATGCCCATTCAACCAAAGTTCCTTTCACAAATGATTTGATCCTCCTACCAGAAGCAACAGCTTTTAGTTTGAACATGTTAATTCCCTCAGCCAAGACAACAATCCCATTAGTGTAAAAACAGGCAGAGCACCGTTTATCAATTCCAGTTATACGTTTCAGATGCAGAAATGCTTTAAAATACTAACGGATATTGTCTTATGTTCATGCAAGACTCCGCCCATAGTTTGGTTTCTGGCTGGTTGATCGGTTAGCCCTGAGGCAAGATATTTCACGCACTAGACAACTCCTTCACATTATTTAGCAATTCCCATCCATTGACGAAACGAATTTATCCCAGTGTGCGATGACAAGAAATATCATTCCCTTTATTGCCTGTGACCAACACCCCAGACGAAGCTAACCACAGGGGCAAAGGCTGCAGGTAACTCAGACTGAATCATTTCATCCCTTTCATAACAGTCCATTTTCTGAAAGCCTAAATATGCCCAAACTACCTCTCACAAGACACAAGAAATTTCTAAATAAATCTACAGAGTACCCTTAGCAGAAATGTAAATGGCTACAACTTTATGTTGTCTATTCTTTAGTCAAACCAGTTAAGCTTGAATCAGGGACTTTTCAGATATGTCAAATGCCAAACTGCTGAATTAGAATATAACAAATAATATATGTTTTTTCTGCTTTAAACTCCAAAATCAATCATAACACTTACCCATCCTTTGCCATAGCATTCAGTACATACGACGTGACCAGTCGTTTTGCAACGATGGCATGGTTTAACTGAAGAAGTGTGAGGCACTGTAATAAACTTCTCTTCATTCTTGAACAAACAAGAAGGCCGTAAATCAATGTCCCATGGCAGAGGAGCTGGTCCATTCTCAGCACCATCTACATCACCTCCAGAGTATGGAATGAATTTCCAGGATGTTTCACGTTTTTCTGTGAAAGTCTGTAGCTCGTACTGAAAATGGTATGTTACTTGTATAAAAATTAGAACAGCAACAGTTTGCACTTTGTCTGAAACCATTTCCACTCATATGTGGAAGCAGCTAATTTAGTCACAGTTTGGTTCGTTTCAGTCAGAAAATAAGAAGATGCATAAGAGTAATTCATGTTCTACTACCACTAGTTACACTCTAAAGATACATTAGTATGGTAATAATAAATAATAATCCTGTATCCTCATTACAGGGCATACCTTCTTTGTACTCCACAATTTAAAAGAAACATCAGTTTAAATTTAGGACTTTGGTTCTGTAATATTAGCTGTGTTGTTACCAATCAGATATCTGCCTCCTCCTCTGTTCCACCAACTAGTCTTCACATCCCACTTGCCATCTAACTAACTAACGAACTAACTATATGGATTACCGAACCCGAAGGTTCATCACCGAATTATCCAAGGCCCTCCACCGGACCCTGTCCTGAGCCAACAAAATCCAGTCTCCTTCAACTCCTATCTCCCATAGATCCCGCCTGACATTATCCTCCCATCTACGTCTAAGTCTCCCCAGCGGTCTCTTCCCCTCAGGCTTCCTGACCAATACCTGGTGCACACCTCTTGCCCCATCCATACTACCTGCAATATAAGGCTTCCTGAAACTACCAATACACATTCACCCTGTAGATGGTAACTGCAATGTTTGCTGAAATGTTGGGAAACTTTCAATATTTCACACAGCTCACTCCCAAAAGCCTAGAACATTGAAAGTTTAGACGTTTGGTTGTTCTACAGTTTTATGAGGCGATAAAACATCCAGTTACAGCACACGTTGCTCTCGGTGGACTAGCGGTTAGCCACTGGACCCCAAGGTTTGCAGGTTCAAACCTGACCAAGATCGATGGATTTTTAAGGGTGATAAAAATCTGTATGACAACTTCCTTCAGAGGGGAAGTAAAGCCGCCTGTCCCATGTCGTAGATTTATGGCATGTAAAAGAACCTTACGAACATGAATGCATGAATGAGATGTTTTGTAATCAAAACTGAGTGGCCAAATCTCTCCTGATTCACTACTAGATGGCTCTAGCAGACAAATCAGGATTGAGTAGAAATTGTGCAGAGGCAGTGGGCTCGTCACTTACTTCTCATAAATGCACACTTTAAAAGACAAAGAAACCTCCCACATGGGAGGAATCCAAGGTTCGGTTTGGGCTGTTGCGCCATAGGGTCAGTCAGTCATTACATCATACATTTCTTGAACAAGTGTACCGTTAATAATAAAGTATGCCTTATCAGAAGCTCACCAGAGTTCAGCGGTGTAGGAATTCTGTATTCAGATTAAAAGGTCCACTGTAATCGGATCAAAATAAAAACCATTTGTCACTGAGAAATACACAAACTGGGAACAAAATGAGATATAACTCCAGACTCAAACAAGACTATTTTGTAACCAGCGGCATTACATTTACAACTCCATGCAATTTAATGGTTACAATTATAAATATACACATACAGTCAACTTTATTGGGCGAAAAAAAAATCACAAAAATGTGGGGGGGGGAAAACATAAATTCTAGGAAAATTCTTACAAATTATATCCAAGCAAAGAGGAATTTTGTCAAAATAACCTGTGGTTATCTGAGATAACTTATACAAAGATAGCAGAGTGTGCTCTTGTGTACTAGATTGTTACAAGACGCATGGTACTACCAAGTGAGAGTAGCTAAGAAATCTGTGTCAAATACATGACATAAGATGAGAAGTTCTTATATACAGAATGCAAACATAAAATGTACACAATTTTTCTATTCCATTTATTGTGGGTTAAAAGGCACAAGAATCAAAACTAACCACTGCTAATTTGTATGATTTAAGGTTTTCACAGCGGTGAGTATGAAGATTTCTGTCTTCTGGGTTGTTGCACTGTGTAGTCCGTTCTTAAAGGCGACGTTGTAGGGCACCATAATTGCAGTGTAGAATGTAAGGCAGAGAATAATCCAGTCCCAGATAGCCTTAAATGCACAGTAATGTAACAGTATATGGGGTGGAGTTTTGGGTGCTTCTTGATGGTACTGGAGCATCACATCGGCATTCAGGCTCATCGTCTGTGGTAGTTCCACACGCCATCATTGTTTGCCCTGATGACGGAGGCAGCGTGACCTCTGAAACGTTGGTTAACATCGACCAGACTACAGAGCGCAACAACCCAGAAGACAGAAATCTTCATACTCTGATGACGGAGGCAGTATGACCTCTGAAACGTTGGTTAACATCGACCAGACTACAGAGCGCAACAACCCAGAAGACAGAAATCTTCATACTCTGATGACGGAGGCAGTATGACCTCTGAAACGTTGGTTAACATCGACCAGACTACAGAGCGCAACAACCCAGAAGACAGAAATCTTCATACTCTGATGACGGAGGCAGTATGACCTCTGAAACGTTGGTTAACATCGACCAGACTACAGAGCGCAACAACCCAGAAGACAGAAATCTTCATACTCTGATGACGGAGGCAGTATGACCTCTGAAACGTTGGTTAACATCGACCAGACTACAGAGCGCAACAACCCAGAAGACAGAAATCTTCATACTCTGATGACGGAGGCAGTATGACCTCTGAAACGTTGGTTAACATCGACCAGACTACAGAGCGCAACAACCCAGAAGACAGAAATCTTCATACTCTGATGACGGAGGCAGTATGACCTCTGAAACGTTGGTTAACATCGACCAGACTACACAGCGCAACAACCCGGAAGACAGAAATCTTCACATATACGAGTAGTTGGTTATAGGATCAAGGTATTCTGACCTACATTTTACAAGGGCTGGAAAATATATCTGTATTAAATTTTGGTCTATACATTATTAAGTAAGTTAAGAGTAATTGTAGCTACTGCATCTCTTAATCCCTCCAACCCATTTTCAAATAAAGGGAATGTGGATTTATCACTGAAGACAATTTTGGCTGTAAGAAGTTTGTCATCTTCACGTGTTGCCAGAAAATCAAAGAAAAAATGTACAGTGAACTTCTTTGCCTTGGGCAGTTTATATGTTGCAATAGTTAATACTAATAAATTTTAAACTTCAAATGTTTCCAGACAATTTAGTGCACTCTTGAGTTTGGCAAGACTGTCAGTCAGCATGCCTGGCCGATTTGTGTAGACGGTGAATGAAATCTGCGCAAAGTGTATCCACCTTAGCTTCAGTAACTGTCATCTCCTTAGGCTGTTTCCTTTATAAATGCAGCCAGCCTGATCAAACAATTTATACCACTTATAAATAAACATTTTATCAAAGTATCATAAAAAAATCTTCTTTGCTTTGTAAACACAGACCTAGACTTGCAAAATAAACAGCACGCATTCAGCTTTCTCTACCTGAGATGCCATTTTAGCACCCGCGATTATAATTTTTCAGGCAGAAAAATTTAGAAACTCATTTGGCACAAAATATAAACTTGATCACATAACCTCCTCATATGCGTCAGTTTTCTTACCTCCGCTTTTTGGTTCGTGAGGGATGTTACAGTAAAATAGTACACATTTCATGTGTACACAATGTATTAACAAGCACGCTAAATTTTAAAAGACAATCAGTAATGAACTATATATTGCAATCTTTAAAAGAGACAAAGAAATGTACAAGGAATCACTCACATGGAATGCGGACGAGTATTTGAGTTTAGTTATCGCCATGTTCTTTGCAGCGCCCTCTCCGTAGCACCAATGATTCTTCACGTGCTCCAGAAGAGCTTGACGCGCCATCTTCTCAGACACTCTTGGGTGTGCTGGTTGAGATGAATGGTTCAAGACGTCTTCCCACCACATCTCTCTCGATGATGGTAACGGCTTTGGTGGAGGTACACTAACTGAAAGAAGATACAGAAACTTTGTTATGAATACAGATGCCATACTACAAATGTATATCTGCCAAATGCATCTGACTCTCCCCCACATCAGATTAATAACCTTAATAATCCAGTGACTGAGGTTAGCTCTCTCTCTAACAGACCCAACTGAGTAGGAGCCCCTTCTCTTTTTACCCGAGGACGGAAACAGATCTAGTTTACAAAACATTGTGTTCTTCTGAATACCAGATGATCGACAAAGTCCAAGAATTTAGTAATCCAAATTGGATATCATCATTTTCTTACTTGTATTAAAAATGTGCTTTTGAAGAACACTGAGACACTATAGAAATACATAAATTCCATGCATGGTTTAGAAATTAATCATTGTCCAATGAAGTTCATATAAATTGCTCAGGAAAAGATTAATTAAGCACAATAATATGAATCTGGAGGTTAGTTAAACCTCAAGTAAAAATCATCCAGTCAGCTGAGAGTATAAAATATGCTTCTTCAAAAATTATCACCACACTAGAGCAAAGCAGGGGGGGGGTCAAGTTTGTAAAATGCAACCAACCTTGTATAAGAAACTAAACTATCCCCCCTGAATTTCCCAAATTTGGAACCTTACTGTTGATATTGGTCTTCAGGACTGAAAATGGAGGTAGTATATGCTATTACATGCAATGATACAACTGAAAAGGCAAACATTTATGTCTTCACTGCCATGAGATCTTCAGATCTCATATTGGAACCTTATTATCTCTTTCTTCTAGCTTCACACCTTTCAGTTGATGTATCTGATAGTTTCCCCTTTCGAGTGTTTTAGAAATTCTGTGGCTGTCCATTCAGTGTGTGAAAATCATATTAGTTTAGTGTCTCATTCAAGTTTTTTGACCCTTGAGTAAGAAACTAAACTAACCCCCTCGAATGGGGGGTTAAAACACTTGACCAACCCCCAGGGGGTTAGTCAAGTGTTTAAAACGCAACAAACCCCCCTTTGCGGGGTTAGTTTAGTGTCTTATTCAAGTGTTTTAACTCTTGAATGAGCAGTATGACTTGAATAATTATTATTATTAGTATCAGATTACCTTGTTGGTGTTGGTAACTTTTCTTCATTTCTTAAATAGTCTTATGTCGCTGGTCGGAGGCGATGTGCTGCTTCTGGAGCAGTGATAATGCGACTGGCTTGATAGTTGTGAAGCGTTATTTGTTTACTCTGCATTGTTGATGACGTCATTTTTTGATGACAAATTGGTTGACGACGACGAAATCACAAATTTTTATAGTAGAGATAACATTTATTTCCACTTGGCTTGGGAAATATGTAATCAATATGAAAAGCAAATACAATCATAATGATCCCTATTACGCAGAGGCAAATTTAAAATTTGATTTTAGTAAACAGGTTCTTGGGGCACAGATTCATTAATTACAAAAATTTATCAAACCACATGCACACACAAACATTTCCAAACTTACAAAAATAATCAAACTCATATATAAAACCATCCATTTATATTTTAACTTAATTGATCAGCGTAGTTCTATGTACAATTCTGAGGCCAGAAACACTTAAGCATTTGTACTATAAATATTTAACTGTAAACTGCAGATATACGTACGTTCAAATCACTCTGTCTTAAGGAAGCCACTGTTTATAAAGCAGTTTTTAGATTTCACATCAAAGAAAAGGAACACTTGTGTTCCTATACGAGTAAATGAATGAACACGTACAACTCCACCCTCTGAGCCAATAACACAATGCAACTGATTCCAGATGAGATTCATCCGTCACTGCTGATTACTACAGATCCCATACAAAAATGCCATGTTTACGTCTTCAAAACACAGAGGTATAAAGCCAATGTCCTGGTCATTTGGACTCCAACCAGTGTAAATAAACTACGTATAATTTACGTGTTCCAAAACTATCAATCTATCATAATACATCCCTAAACAAAAGTAGAATGGGGAAATATACTTATAGAAATTGACAAAAGACGGGAAATAAAGAAGCAAGAGAGAAGTGGCCTTGATAAAAAAATTAAACATGTTCTTTAGAAGTCTACTTTTTATCGGAAAATATAAAAACATGTACCTGGTTTGGTACACCAATTCAGATACTTATTTGTACAATGTTCCAACCAATTTTGAACTAGTCAGACAACATTTTCAGTGGTCTACTTAGCTACTATAGGATATTTCTTTTTCGTGTCCAGTACGCACCATTCAGCATGGTGTGCTTTGGTGGTTAGAAGGATTCACGACCCATCAGTACATGGGTTCGATCGGGACCCCCTTTTTGCGAAATGATGATGAAAGTGGAGTAATTGTTGGGATGCCACGGAGAAACCGGGGAAGCCCCCGGAGGAAAACTCCGTGTTGCCTGGACCACGGCCTTGCCCAACACAAGTTATAAATTCGGGCACCGCCGGGAATCGAACCCGAGACCCCAGGATTACAAGGCCAGCGTTCTAACCGCTAGACCACCTCATCTTATTATTATTTAGTGTTCTGACGACAGGTCCATATGACCAGGATCCTTCCATCCTTTTCTCGGACTTGGACCTGTTCATATACGTTCTTGGCAGATGATTCAGAAGTGGTTTGCCATTGCCTTCTTCTGTGTGTGAATGGAGTAATTGTTGGGATGCCACGGAGAAACCGGGGAAGCCCCCGGAGGAAAACTCCGTGTTGCCTAGATCACGGCCTTGCCCAACACAAGTTATAAATTCGGGCACCGCCGGGAATCGAACCCAAGACCCCAGGATTACAAGGCCAGCGTTCTAACCGCTAGACCACCGTGCCGAGTAAACACGACTATTGTTGTCGATTTGTTGATACGGATCTTACACATTTTCGTTCCACGTTTTCCTTTCACTTTTTTGCCGAATGACCCTTCCGTATTTACGTCAAATTATCCGGAACCGTGGTTCCACTGACAACTTTTTAAAAGTGATTTATAAACACAAATTACAATAAGAATAATGACTTTAAAAATATTCTACATCAATGAAGAGGAAATAGCAGCTTGTCTTGTCAAACAGGTGTGTGCATCTTTTTAAAGATCTTCCTATTTCTCATTTTCCTGGAGAGGACATCGAGTAATTCTGGGAGTTGACAATTTTTCTATTAATTCTACATTGTCCTTCCTGCCAGTTGCTTTCGTAAATTATAATTTTCCTTCGCTATGGAAAATATTTTCTTATATCTTCATCGTGAAATCGACAAGGTCTTCTAAATCCTGCTATGATCAGTGAAATCTCATCTGTACACACTCTATCCTTCCTTAATAATCGAGAGATCACTTAAATATCTAAATCCTACACAGCAGCCACGCTAATTAAAATTATGTAGTTGTTCGACTATTATATCCCAAGTCAATCTTTGTTTTTTATGGGGAGTTTCTTCTACGAAACTAAGATTTTGTTTTATTAATTGACAGTCTTAAATTACAATTTTCAGTCATCCTATTTCACATACACAGTGCTGTCTGTAGTGAAAGAAATCTTGTCTAAACATTATTTAAAGACTAGAGCAGAGCGCTCCTTTCGGAGCTCCTCTGGGGGTTGGTTGCGTTTTAAAATCTTGTGTAAGAAACTAAACCAACCCTACGAATGGGGGGTTAAAACACTTGACCACCCCCCCTTGGGGGGGGGGGCTAGTCAAGTTTTTAAAACGCAACCAACCCGCGTTTTAAAATCTTGAGTAAGAAACTAAACCAACCTTCCCGAATGGGGGGTTAAAACACTTGTGTTGGTACAACAATGCCGAGTAAACAAATATAACGTGACATTGTTTGATGACGTCATTTTTTGATGACGACGACAAATCACAAATTTTTATAGTATATAAGATGACAAACCTGCATTGAAAGATATGGTCTCGTATCCAGTAACTTGCTCCATCTGGTCCAGAGGCGGTGCTGAGGGAATTGTTGAATCATATTCGTACAATCCTGAAAACAGAACAGAAAACACAATTTTCAAAGTTGTCGCTCAAAATTATTATTTTGAAACTGTCAACAATGTGTGTAAGATTTGAGGTTTTCTGCAGATGGCTGTCTTCTGGGTTGTTGCGCCATGTAGTCTGGTAGATGTCCGACGTTTCAGAGGTCCTTGCTGCCTCCATCATCAGGGCGCCCTGATGATGGAGCAATCCATGGTAGCTCAGAATACGGTTCTACGTCTCAAAATATTTGAGAACCCCTGCATCTTTTTGTTAATTGTCACAGGAAGCAATCACCATTTACAGTCACCTCAGGTCAGAAACCAATCAGAAGGTCACATGTCTAGTCAAGAACTGTATATTCACTTCTACTTGAATCTTACCACGTTTTAAATCTATAAATTATGCATGTACGCAATATAGAAATATTTTACTGAACAATAAAACCATATTCAATAACTAAAAAACGTTTGTAGTTGATACCGTGTTATTAAATAACACATTAATTAATCATATATTATTTTAGTAAAGTCGAATTTATTCTCTGATCAAAGATGCTTATCAGACGTAGATGAATTTCCAACAACGTTTATTTTTATACGACATGGAGAAATCTACAAGATGGCAGTAAGATTTATCTCTGACTGAAGCATGTTTATACTCTTTAACCTGTGAGTAATGAACACGATTACTACCAATACATATATTTCAAATACCGCCTATCAGAAAACCAGATTCTTTTCTCACTACATCAATTTCAAAATAAGTGATCCTTTAACAGTTGCAGTGTTTAATGTTTTTAGTGTAGCTTTAATGGTTCGTTTGATTTCAGACATTTTTCCTCCTAAAATAACAACCACTGCATACCTTGCCAAGAACACTGTGTTTGCTTAACCCTGTGAAACAGATCTTCTAACTTACATAAACAAATCTATCAGAATGACGATCACAGACCGAATTATAAGCCACGGTTAACAGTTACACCTGGTTGAATCATAAACTCTTATATAATTACATACGTAAAATGTGTAAATGCAGAAAACAGTACAATTGCAGACACGCCCATAAAGTTTCCCTTCATAAAAATACGACTATAAAAATAAATAGACGTATTTTTGAACAGAGAAACAAGAGTATTCTTAAAGAACAAAGGTAGTTAAACCTGTCCTTGTGAAAATTTAGAACGTATTTCATCAGTTACAGATATGTAATTTTCTGAAAAACATATCACATTACATGATACAAAATTCTTTTGAGCGAATTCGCTCTCTCTACAAAAAAATCTTTTAAAAGTAGATTTTATACGCACTTAACACTCTTAACTATCGTTCACACTCCACAATTTTTACCCATGGATATATACAGGTCTAAATTTTAAAGCAAAGTTACACGAGTTCACAACTTTCTATGTCCAAAATTTCTTTCTATGTCTATAGAATCTAGTTCTCCCGTCTTAATTCACAGTGTAACTTCTACGTAGTTTAATACACCATAAATTCGGTTAAGCTTTATAAAAAAAATAAGACAAGACCAATGTGAACGTACCTTGACGCATAAATCTACCGAAGAAAATTAATCCATAATTAGTAATGACAGTAAATATATTAATATATTTTACTGACTCCCTGACACATAAAGTTAGGTTCAATTATCTGTAACACAGTAGCATAGGAGAATTAATCCTTTCATTATCTACTTCCCGAAGATTTAAGAAACTTCTAAAACCATCATCAGGTGTAAAATATTTACGAACTTAAAACTCAAATATGATTCCATTTGGTGATGTTTCATGCCATTTGTTTTTCAATTTTGGGCGAGGTGTTGTCTTTTCTTAAATTTTATCAGATGTACATATCGGTCTGTAAGTAGAAGATTGAAAGAAACACTAAAGAATTTGAAAGAATTTATAAAAGAATTTAGAGAATAAAATGCAAAATATATAAATTATAGTTAGAAAGTAGCAGTAAGATATAAATAAAAATAATATAAAATAAAAGTAAATCTAAAATAAAACATACCCTAGATGTAGGATTGATTGTTCCGATATGTCCAGAAGTACTACTGTCATCGTATAGGTGTGGGTCAATACTGACTGTGGTTGCTTGTGGAAGGAGTAAGTGAAAGGTGGCTGTCGGGGTTGGGGTTAATGATCTGTAATGCATTGAAGATGGGGTTATTAAGGAGTATGTTATTGTCATTTAGACAAATGTTTTGTTTATATGTTTGTTATATGTAATATTTTTCTATTGTATTCCTATGTTTTTTGTTTTGTACTATTTTTAATATGTCCATTGTTTCATTTATTGTATTATATGCATGTCCTGTATTTAGAATATGTTTTGCGTATGCAGAACTGTCTTTATTGTAAATCGATCAATCGATATGGAACATCAATGATATTTTATTATCTTAATTATAAGAAATTTTAAATATTGTGATAAGACGGATTAAAATAAATAATTGTTAAACTTCTTGAAATAAGTATGCTTACTTAAGATTTCGAGTTTTAACGATTCTCCAATGCTGATGTATTTATAATAAGTCAACACGTGAATTTCACACGTAAAGTTACAACGTCTCATCAGATATTATTTTGTATTTTCCTAAACCTTTACCCCAGGTTTTGTATTTAAGTCAAAGGAGTTTCAACATAAAAATTCTCCAAACGCAACATTGAATAAATCGAAAATCGTGGCCGTGCGGTTAGCACGCCTGCTTCTCATTTTAGACGTCCCTGATGTGCCAGTAAGATTTGAGTTCAAATTCTGAAGAAAAAAAAAGTGCTTTGAGTTGCGCAAATAAACAAAATATTTCGATATCAAAATTCGGTTTACATAATGGAAATGAGATGCGATTTGGCTATAATGATCTCTTCTTGTAATTCAGCATGGAATCGAAATGACTGCTGGTTACTTTACGTGAATTTCAATCATCTTGTGCCTGCTAGTCGGAGAGATAGTAAAAAAGTCCCATATGAACTCCAAAACAATAAGAAACACTGTAAATCCAGGTATTGAATCCGCCTGGTCCAATGGGATTTGGGTCAGCTATGCGTTAGCAGTAAATTGAATTACTTAATTCTAAACAGTTGAACAATACCATTTGATTACACGCTTTGCATGAGCTTCAAAGTCAAAACCTCAGATAACTTGTCCTTACTTATCCTTGCCTACCCTCCATCATACCAGGAAACCATAAGATAAAAAGGGACAATCAGACTCGTTACCGGAGACCAGGCTATCCGAACTGAAGTCTCCCCAAAAAATAACAGTGTGCCTTAAATTAGGCCACAACCGCTTCCTTCCAGAACCTTTCAAGTTCATAATTATCATCCTAGTCTACGATAAAAGCTTGAGTTACTAACTGCGTCAAAGTCACAGAGAATCGATCGATCGATCGATTCTCATATCGAATGGTAAAATGACAATCATGTTTCTTGCAGACTGACCTATCATCGTAGGGTAACCTGAGATGCAATGTTTACACTGTGACTGCTAACATTTTGGAGGTATCTCTTAAGTTTTTAACCAAAAGACTTCAACTGACGTATTTACCGCCCTGAAAACCTCAAACAATATCCGGTTTGATTCTTTTACGAAAATCGCTTTAAATTTTCACACCGATGTAATGAAGCGATACGAACTACAACTAATTCTCTCTGCGGTCACCACAACACGGATAGAGGTCTAGTACAATGTTTAGAATCCGTATAAAGCAACGTGTAAAATTATAGTACAATAAATGTTAATATTTAAATTTTGCAAATGCGGAATAAATAATGGAAACCCTGACTGAAATTTTTGGTATTTTTATGTTGTTAATATCTCCATGAATCTCATTTGAAACCAAGACTTTGTTTCAGCGCGTAACCACGGATAAACCTCGGAATTTGGTATATAACAAAAAAAAAGTGTTTTCGACAAAAATACAACACTAACCACACTTTCGCACTCAGTATTTATCTTCAATGCTCCAATAGAAGATTTAATGTTGCAACTGCAAACTACAGATCCCTGTAATTAAATTATTCCAGACAAAAATATTCTACGTATCTTTACATATAAATCAGTCTAGTGGCGAAGAGTATTTCTTTGTTCAAACAGCGTATGTATATTACAGAATTATATAGTTCCTAAACCAAGCTATTTTAATGTTCTATCTTTATATGAAACAACACGAATGTTTAGAATATCATTCTTTACATGTTTCTGCTAAATTCTGAACCAGATGACTGACAATTATGAAATCAGTGTAAAAGTCATGACGCTGTCAGTCCAAGAGACATAACTCATAATCTTAAACATCAACAATAAGAAAACACAAAACCACGATTCTATTCTGGAGGTACCCCGTTCGATCGTCGATTACGACACCGACTATCGTAATATTTTCCGTGGTTTTCCACAGTCCCTACGATAAAACTGGGCAGTAGCAGAATTAGTGTGGAGGTAAGGAATTTGTAATGATCCAACGTGGAGTAAGACTTCACCAAAAGTAACATGGCGGCCGTGCAAAATTTTCATTTACCTTTACATTTGACAGTAATATCTAATTAACAATTTAAGCCTGATGTATATGGAACTGGGACAGCTAACGGATCCATTATCCAACCCCCAGATGGCATGCGTAAATATTCAGTAATATTCACAAATAAAAACAGACAAACTCGGAAATATATGAAGATTTCTGTCTTCTGGGTTATTGCGCCCTGATGACGGAGGCAGTATGACCTCTGAAACGTTGGTTAACATCGACCAGACTACACAGCCCAACAACCCAGAAGACAGGAATCTTCATATTTTTAGTCGCAGTGATGAAGGAGGAAGTATGACCTCCGAAACGTTGGTTGACATCCACCAGACTTCACAGCGCAACAACCCAGAAGACAGAAATCTTCATACTCACCGCTGTGAGAACCTCAAGTCTTACATCGGAAATAAATCTTTATGAGTGCAATTTTGTCCACTACAAATTCGACGTGGACCACCTTTGGTCTGAACTCGGACCTTC